CAACATGAGCCACACACCCACAAGCTTTATGAGCAGGAAAACATTCCTTGTTATTTTCTGCATCAGGTGAGGTGCGTTCACTGAAACTACCTGATGACGTCCCAGACTCCCTCTGGTGTCCTGCCTTCCCCCCCCCTCAGGAAGTAGTAATCCTCTCTGGGAAATAATAAAGCAGGCCCTATTGACACAGCAGTCACATCCAGAAACAAAAGGACACATTCTACTTTAGAAACGACCTATAAAGGAAGGCCTCACTTTAGCGCCTCTCTTTGAGTATGCCTACATATATGCCTACATATAAGCGGGCAAGAATATCTTGTGATATGTAAGGGCTTTTGAGCTAGAAAAGTAAGCAAGAACAGAGACTGGGTACATTCCCATAGCCCAGTTTCTCAGACAGTATGCCACTGCCCGTCTTATAAACCATGGCTGTCCATGAGGCATGATTTGTGTGTTCCAGGAGGTACACAGCTGGACACTTGGAAGAGAGGAAAGACTCACATTCACATTGATCGACTCTCACAGGGAGCCCCTTCACACAGCATCTTGGCACCTGCTAAGCTGCCCTTCAAGTGCCCATGGGGCTGCTTAAATATATAAAATGATCCTTGAGCACATGAACACAATGCATTGTGGGGGGGCAAATGGTCCATTGAGGCCTATGCTGGGTAAAAAATATCAAAGATGGAAAGTTACCGTGTGGATGGATCCTTGGATGGTGACAGACACCATTCCCCCCCCCCAAATTTGCTATAGGTAGTATAATAGAGGTGCTTTCTCTGGTCTCACAATCAACCTCTGGTAAGACTTTTTCAGAAAACTGCAGAACCCCTTGAAGGGAGATGGTGAGATGACCGTGTAGACCCCTGGCAGGAAACTGTGTCTCTCAGACAATTGTTTACATGTGGAAGAAAATGAATGTCTGCCACCATCCACCTTGATCATGGGGAACTGCAGATGTTCCAAGGTAGGTTGATGTAACTCTTGCAGAGATCTCTGCTTAGGGAATACTGGAAAACAAGGCCGAGAATCACATAGTGGAAAAGAAGGCTTCCCCCCCTCTTACCTCCGTTCTTAGCAATTGGTTTACTGAGAGGAGCAACAAAGGATGGATGTTCTGCTTTGCAAGTGTAGATGTTCCCTGCCAGCCAGTTTTGCTTGGAGATGATCAGGGAGCTCTTAGCGGTGAAGGTGCCATCTGAGTCCGAGGAGATTTCCAGTGGCTCTGGGTCCAAGGCTCCTGGTTTCTCCCAGGTCCAGCTCACTTTTAGGCCCACATCACTTTCAAGATGAGATACCACGCAGATGAGCTTGGGGTCTCCATTCATGTATAGGTCAGCCGGAGTCGGAGGTATGACAGAGATCTTAACGCCATTGGTTGCACAGGTACCGCTGTCACCTGGGGATTCAAGAGCCCATGTCAAGCCCCTAGGCTCCCCGTACCTCTTTTTCAGCCTGTTAATTGTCTCTTGGTCTAATCTGCCATTTTCCCCTCCTTCTGAATCATCACTACAGCTCAGCCATGTCAGGATTCCCCACTTGATCACCCTAGCTTGTTTGGTCACCTCTTTCCTTAACTGTGGCCTTGTGAAACAGCAAATCTGGGAACAGCCCAGGATATTCCTTGTAGCGTATTGCCGTTCTTTAAAGAGTTAGCATCCATTTAACAAAAATGTGTTCCTTGCTGCTGCTGGTTGTGGTGGAAAAGTGCTGTCAAATCATAGCTGACTTTTGGTGGCCCTGTAAGGTTTTCAAGGCAAGGGGCAAACAGAGGTATAGCCACAAGGTATAGATAGGAACTCTCGGTCTGGGGCAAGTGATGCTCTGTATTCTTGGTGCTTGGGGGGGGGCAACAGTGGGAGGGCTTCTAGTGTCCTGGCTCCACTGCTGGACCTCCTGATGGCATCTGGTATTTTTGGCCACTGTGTGACAGAGTGTTGGACTGGATGGGGTGTTGGCCTGATTCAACATTGGCTTCTCTTAGGTTCTTAGAGGTGGTTTGCAATTGCCTACCTCTGCATAGCAATTGTGGACTTCCTTGGAGGTCTCCCATCCAAGTACTAACCAAGGCTGACCCTGCTTAGCTTTTGAGATCTGATGAGATCAGTCTGGTCTGGTGTGTTTCTTAGAGCAGAATGAAGGAAATAAAGAAGCAAGTAGGCATCTAGGGCAACTTGGGTGTACCTTGGTGATGATCAACCGATGCACCTCAAATGTGGAGATGAGGAGGTAAATGGCTGCTCACGGGACAATTAATGGAGGTTGCACAGTGATTGGAGTACACTGGGGAGGAACTTGGAACTAAGACAACCAGTCCTTCAACCAGAATGGAATCCACCAACCAGAAGACAGTATGGGTATGGAGACAGACTGAAGGGGAAAGAAGTCCTTCCTAATTCCAATGGACCATAATGGTAACTGATTCTGTATTTCTAGATGATGGCAAGAAGCCGCCCCTACGGTAACTCTCCGTGACACTGATAGATCTCTCCCCTATTTTTCACCCTTCTCTCTCCCTCAATTCATGCTGAGCAGCACAAACCCAATCAAGTCCCAACTAAATAGTTATTACCTGGGCATTTTGAGGCATGTTTTTCCACTCTGGTACCCTCGTGGATCACCTGGCAGGTGTATGTCTTCCCCTCTTTCCAGGCTACTTGAGTAACGTTGGCAGTGCTGGTAGTGCTGAAGGTGTTCCCTGTAGCATCTTTCTTGGGGGACTCCGTGTGGGAAGCCAGCACCCCGGATTTGCCATCCACCAGCCAATTCACTGTGACTGTGCTCGGGTAGAAGCCTGAGATAAGGCACACAAGCTCAATGTCGAAGTCATCAGTCTTGCGGCTGCAGGAGGAATGGAGGAGGTGGACTTCTGGGGCCCTTGGTTCATGACTAGAGCAGGCTGAAAGGAGAGAAGGTACATGGAAATTAAGAATGTTCTCTTTCAGATGACTGAGCATCTACCGTACTATCTCTGAGCTCCAATTCTATATAACCCTTAAAACTCAAAATATCTCTGGGGGTGAAAAAGAGATAGGACCACCCCTGTGGTAGATGTGGAGGCATCAGGACCATGACCAGCTGCCATTTTGTCCCATTCACCGTCTTCCGGATTTTGCCACACAGCTCCTTAGATTTGGGAACAGCCTGTGCTTATCTGTGCTTATCAGACTTGCTTTCCTGCCATGACTTTTCCCTCAAAAGGTGTCTTTTCTCTAAACCAATGAAACATCGCCTTGCCTACACCTTCGCAAGGGAAGGCAGGGAGGTGGCTCCACTCGTTTCACTTTCATAGGATTGCTGAGACCTCTGGTCAGCTCACTGGTTCTACACGCCAACCAGAGACAATTAAAAGGGTTCATGCACACGACAAGCCATCCATCACTTGGACTCAACAACTATAAATACTTTAGTAGGAAGAAGAAGAAGAAGAAGAAGAAGA